GATGAAATGGCGAACCTCATAGGCCAACCCCAAGCGGTCTAGGGCATAGGACTTTGGGTTTAGGCTCTAAGGGGTTCAGGGTTGGGACCCTACCCTGATAGCATGCTACCTGAAAAAATACATTAAAGTCCCGTTACCTTTACGGCCGCAACACCCTTTACGTAGCTCCATGATGATTCAAGTAACATGCTAAACCTTGAGGACCCTTGGCCCCAACTACTAAAACCTACACACCAAGCCCATACAAACCTAAACCCTAAACCCAAAACCCTAAACCCTAAACCCTAAACCCTAAACCCTAAACCCTAAACCCTACTCACCACGTCCCGTGGCCCTTCAAGCAAAGCTCGAAACCCGAGTCCCAAACCCTACTCCAGAACACCACGGTTTAGGGTTTAGGGTTTAGGGTTTAGGGTTTTGGTGTTTCCCGCCTCGCTCGCGGCCTCGGACCCTAATGCGAAGACATAGTTGCGGTAGACGTGCTGGAAGTCCTCACCCGCTTTGGCAGAGAGGGTTTAGGGTTTAGGTAGGCACCTACCCCTAAACCCCAAACCCTTTAGGGTTTAAGGTGTAGTGTAGGGGTTTCGGCACCTGGACTTCTGTAAAGTAAGGGCTTAGGGTTTAGGGTTTAGGGTTTAGGCTTTAGGGGTTTTGTGAAGCAAGGGCTTGGGATTAAGGACTCAGAATTCAGGGTCCAAGCTGTTCAAGAAGGGCTTCGGGCTTGGGGGATGCTCCTGTTCAAAAAAAACCTTCAGAAAGGTTTAGGGTTTAGGGTTTAGGGTTCAGGGTTCAGGGTTTAGGGTTTAGGGTTTAGGGTTTAAGGTTTAGGGTTTCGGGTCTAGGGTTCAGGGTTTAGGGTTTAGGGTTCAGGCATGCATGGTGTTAGACCCCCAAGCATTAACACCAGCTGATGAATGAAATCCTGCCTAAACCCCAAGCCCTAAACCCTGGGTTGCCTGAAGTCCCCTAAGCTGTGGGAACCATGGTATCTTCCTGCTTCTGGAAACCCGGAGGTCCTTAAGAAACCCTCCCAGAGCCCCTGCTAAGGGTTTAGGGGTTTAGGGGTTTAGGGCTTTAGGGGTTTAGGGCTTTAGGGGTTTATTATTTGGGGTGCTCACGCCTTAGGATCTAGGAGGGTATGCCCTGTACAAAATGCTAAGGCCTTGTAGATCCCTTTCCGAACCCCTATGACGAGAACACCTGCAAACCACGGCATGAAAGCTCTGTAAAGCCTATCGCTGCCCGTGCCCTGCTGTCCTTCTGCCCGGGATATAGCCAACCTCAGGAAACTCAGACTGCCTTCATGGGGCTTAAGAATTCGATTCGAGTTCGTTTAGGGTTCTTTGCTGGATTTCATATGGATTGATGAGGAACCTTAATAGTTTGCAGTGTCCTGTGAGTTTTTTACGGGGTATCACGAGTTCTCAGCTGATACATGCAGCCACGCGAACAACAGCACAAGGGCTTATATAGGGGGTTTAGGGTTTAGGGTTATGATCTCCCAACAAGCGTCGTGGTAGAGGCGCAATGGGATGCGGCCGCGCGACAATGCTAAAACTTCGAATCCTTAAGCCCTGAAACCCACAACTCCGAACCCTGGACAACTCTAATCCTTAAGCCCTGAAACCTACAATTCTAGACCCTAAACTTCCCTAAAACCTAAACCCTAAGCCCTGAACTCTAAACCCTAAGCTTCCCTAAAACCTAAACCCTAAGCCCTAAACTCTAAGCCCTAAACTTCCCTACAAACCTAAACCCCAAACCCTAAGCTTCCCTAAAGACCTTTGTGTAGCCAGGAACTCCAAGAAGCGGAGCGAAACTTTTCTCGATGGATGGGGCTTTATGGTTTTAGGGTGTATAGGGTTTTAGGGTTTAGGGTTCTAGGGTTTAGGGTTTTAGGGTTTAGGGTTTAGGATTCTAGGCTTTAGGGTTTGACAAATCCGCGGATGCTCTAGGGTCCAAGGATGCTCAGGGATTTGGGTGTAGGGTTTCGGGTTTAGGGATTAGGGATTAGGGTTTAGGGTTTAGGGTTTAGGGTTTAGGGATTAGGGTTTAGGGCTTAGGGTTTAGGGTTGATAGAAGACAAATCGGAGCTGTAGCAGGGCACCCTCAGCAATGCTATGAGTATCCACCCAGGCCGCTACGTTGCCCCGCGCCCCTAAACCCTCAACCCCAAAATCCTTTCTTCTGTCTAGAAACCTAAACCCTAAACCCTAAACCCTAAACCCTGTTTTGGGGTACTACAATTCTAAATAAGGAACCCCAAACCAGTATAGGAAATTATCTGGGTTCTTGTTAAGGGATGTAATCTAAGTTACCATAATAAGGAAACCATATTATTTACAGATCCCTATTATGGTAACTTAAATTACATCCCTTAACAAGAACCCAGATAA